CAAAACTATTTATCGATTATAAAAATTGTTGCAGATATTAATAGTTAACAACTAATGGAGTAATTGACTAATTGTTGCAGCTCTACCAAATATTCCTCTTTAGGCATTTCATTGATTTCTGTTCAGGGGTTTCATTTTACCCACAAGTCTGAATATATTATGTATTGTTTGATGCATTCATTCATTTTTTGGTTTACTAAACAGTCCAGACACATTTGCACTGTGTACAATTGAGCTTTTCCAATAACAGTATTGGTGGAAATATCAGACGCTGCCTAAAATGCAGTGTTTGGTATCAGAGAGTCTGTGTACCGATCCAAAACACCGTAACGGGACCCAGGTACTTCACCGCAGTGTCAACAATAGTAGCTATATAGGCTTAATACTATATGCTAGTAAAAAATAATATAATATAACATACAGTAAATATATAGATTGGTTTTTAGTTTGTAGGAAAAAATGGTATCTGAACATCCCCAGTTTACAAATATGCAAATCTGGTAATGAAAGCAATACATTTATCAGATGACCGCAAGATTTGATAACATCAATGATTAGAGTCAGCCGTCGAAGAATGAAGTTATTTTTCTAAATATCAAATATTTATGATCTGGGAAAAGTACACTAGAAATTAAAAATGTACGTTTTGTTCTAGTTTGCCCACTTTGTGTTGAATAGATGTTTCAGTGGTAAGTAGTTTGATACCAACCATTCAGTATTATTACTTCCCCCCAGCCTTCTTCCAACTTTCTACTAAACTCACCATATTCTGCCAGTTGTTCATTATTAAAGTGTGCAGACAGGAAGCTGGATTAGATTCCCTGAAGCTCTTTTAGGGCCTGTGCTCTGGTTAATGTGTGCAGCCTAGTCTACCATACCAGACCACCACAAACCCTCAAGATAAGATAAGTCAGCTGTATTCTCTCTTATCTCCCCCCCCCAAATCTTCTTAGTAAAATATAGGCTGTAAAACTGAGATTTCAGCCTGTGTGAAACTAATTAAGCAGATTATTATTTGTTTTATTGGTTCCTGTTTACCGCCCCCACCTCCCCCTGGTTTAAACTTTTACTCTAACCTCGTTCACCCTGCAGGCCCCGGGCAGCGGTGCAGGGTTTCAGGAAACTTGAGCCACGGTGGGCGCCTGGATCTCACATTTCATAACAAAGCAACATGCTCCTGGTCTCAGACCTGTGTGGCTTTACTCCTGTCAAAAGTCAGCCCCTTCTGTCCACCCTCTTACTTCATGCGATGTTATTTTTTTTGTAGTTAATTATATTACTTTGAAGTGTAATGTGTACTCAGTCTCTGTGTGTAGGCCTGTAGGTCTTTGTTTACCATTAAGGTTTTGGTCTGTTGGTTTCAGTGACAACTCTGAGTGATCGTTGGTGTCATAAAACAACACAAAGTAACAACCCGCCCTCAGATAGACAAATGAGAGTTGAGGACAGCTGTGTGTAGCCTGTGACTTTTTACCGAGCTCAATCTATAATGCAATAAATGTGTTGTTGTTGTTGTTGTTGTTGTTGTTGCTCTTGCCTTTTGCTGTGGGTCCCGGACGGGGTCCTGTCCCTCTGCCTCCGGTTCTTGAACCAGTTGCTGACCTGTGTGAGGGACAGTCCGGTGACTTTGGCCAGGTTTTTCTTCTCGTCCGGAGTGGGGTACCTGTTGCTCTTATAGCACTCCTTCAATGCATTGCGGGACTTCTCCTTAAAACAGTACACGGTCTCCTCTCCGTCCCAGATAGTCTTGGGCAGGGGGAACTTCTTCCTGAGCCGGTACTTGTCCACTGCGCCCAGGCTGCGGCCCCGGGACCTCTCCGCCTCCTTGTAGCGGGCTTTCAGGTACAGGTCCTGCAGGAACCCATGGTTAGACTGGTGGAAGTCGTGGCTCTCCAGGATGGCGTACAGCTCCTTGAATTCTTCCCGGTGGAAAGCCACCAGTGCTTGGGCCTTCAGCAGGGTCTCGTTGCCACGTAGCAGCTCGGACGAAGGAGGTATGGTGGATAGAAATCTCCACAGGCGATCCACATTGCCCGCCTGCAGAAGGGCCTCGCAGAGACATGATACTTGGTCAGTGGAGAAACTCAGAGCCGACTTTTGGAAACTTTGGAGTAATTGTTCCGAAACTTGGACCGGATCTTCCTCTTCTTTGGGTTCCGTTGCCGTTGACTCCTCTGGGCTGTTCTCAGATTGTTCTGTAGACTCCAAAGACAAGGAAGCCATTTTTACTTTAACTTTTTTTTTTTTTTTCTCCTCCAGTAGTTCCTCCTCCTCTCTCCCTCCCTCCCTCCCTCTGCAGCGCTGCGCTCTCTCCCACACTGAGCCAGTCGGCCAAACCATGACTGTGTCTGCAGACGACAAGCGATCACGCCCCTTTTAGACTCTATGTACTGCCTTTGTTCAACGTGACTATTTAGATTAACCTTTGTGTGTTAGGATATTATTTAAACATTAACATATTTATGTCCTAACTCATTCTTTACTAGCTTGTTCCTCTTCAGTAGGGTTTAATTTCACAAACATCTGACTAATGTGGAAGATGGAACAAGTATAGAGAGTAAAAGTATGAATGTTGTAATGTTAAAATACTCCTCTGCAAGTACTTGTCATGCGTTCATGGTTGTACTTAACTAAAACTACACAATCTGTTGCAAAAAAAAAGAAAGTAGAGCGCTATTAATCAGTCAGTGAAATATTTTAAACCAATTAATCATTTCTGTCACTTTTCAAGCTAAAATGCCAAACTTCCTCTGGCTCCACTTTTTAAAATGTGATCATTTGCTGCTTATAAAAAAGATTTATGAATAGTGCAGAAAACAATCACTAGGTTAATTGACAATGAAGATAATTGTAAATAAACATACTAATTAGCCCCTGTCTGATTGTTATATCATCAGATTATTACTGGTGTGCAGTTTTCCTGCTGAAGTGTATTTTTTAGCAATTTACTTCAGAGAGAAAGTTCTTTAACTATTAACTGATTGTCTGAATCCTTTCAGATTAATATTCTGTCATTCTACTAATCAATTAATTGATTAATTGTTTCAATTCTACTGTAGTGCTCATATCTCAGCCAATATCTATAATGATGAAACACTTGTTTTTGATAATCGTACTATATATTTATTTTAATAGCATCCTTAAGAGATTCTACATGTAGCCATCCTGTATGATTAACAATTATTATTATGGTTCTTTTTAATGGCAGATGTCGAGATTCAATACACGCCAACACTTCAAAAAAGCTCGCTCTGACAGCTGTTGTTCATCCAGTAACATATAAAAGAGTTTTGATGTGTTCAAATTTCATATCATGCACTTGTGTTAACATGACATCCCTCAATAGTTTGGTTATTTTCAGGAGATTAGAGAATGCCATATGATATTTATTCCCAAAAGTAATAAAATGTGTGATGTGTAAGGAATAAGGCCTTTGTAAGACAGTGTTTGTTCAGGTATGCAGTCATCCCAGTTTCCCGACCGGATCCTATGGTTTAGTGTGTCTGAGGTGGTTCCCTAATGCAAATACCTTCACTGGAAACCCACACAATTGAGCCTGCACTTACACAGCCAGTATAGTTTGCATTTGTGACATGTTTGATGTTTGTTTGTTTTGCAGCAGGTGTGCAAAACATCTATTTAGACCACTTTAATGCTGTGCTACCTCTTCATTGAATATATGAAACCAAAGCTGCAATACTTTCTGTATATCGGACAAAGCTTTTAGGACGAGTACAGAAAATAAATGACTTAACTAGATGTTTAGCACTGTTACAATGACAAAAACTGAAGGCTTATATTTGTATGTACAGGCCTTAATCTGAAACTCACACATTAATGAATAAAATAACACTTCTTTATGATAAGATACATGTGCCACATACTACATGTGACCTCCAGTAGAGGTGTTAATAAGGCCAGGCAGGTTTGCAGACCTCTATCTCCATCAACGACCATAGGAATGTAGATCTTCACTGTGGACTGTGGGCTTGTCTCAGCCCCCCTCTGTACTCCTCCCTGCCTGGGGTTTTGTTGTAACTCCCTGCTTTGTTTGATCTTTTATCTGCCCATACATGCTCTAGTCTGTTATCTGTATGGAGAAATACTTTTGTTCACTATCAAAATGATTAAAGGAAAAGACTTGTTTTTCTGGCAGGGAGATTGTTGTCTGTCATATAAAATAGCTAAATCTGCAGCATATTTTCCAAAAAGATGATTTATAAATGACAGCTAATGCAGCAATATGATTTAATATCCATAACACACAATATATACTCTATTCTGTAACTACTGTAATTCTGTAATTCTGTGGTGGAGTGGAAACCAAAATGATAATGGTCTTTTGTTAGAATTGGTCATTACTGAGCCCTGGAGTCATTATGGCTGCAGATAAAGCAGGTTATTAGGTCAAACATGTAGTAATATAAAGTACAGGCCTATAATTGCTTATTACAGAGTTATTGACTTTAAAACAACATGCAAAATGCCTGGTTGCATCATGTATCATGTTTAAAATACTCCACACAATAAACTTTGTAGTCTTCATGTTTTAGGCTAGAGGACAGCGCCACCGTGTGTTTACATCCACCGTCGCAGTCACTCCTGTCTTATGATTGGTTTTCGAGTCTGTCAATCAACCGGTAAGTGGGCGGTGCCGCGACTCCCCTTCCCTTCGTAACGTAACCCCATTGGTTGAACTCGTGAGCTCCCTGACGTGATTGGTTCATTCCTGGCTGAGTTGGGCAGAACGTTCCAGAATGTTGGGACGTAACGTCAGCAGGGATTGCTGTTTGAATGTGGAAGTTAAACAAAAATGACGACATCTGCCGGGTAACCTAAGCTACTGCTTTGGATGGATTTAATGCGAGGCCGCGATGAAAGAGTCTGAATATAAGTAGTTTTACCGGTTTCATTATTTAGTTCAATAAAGTCTGTGTTAAAACTCGGATCAACGGCTCTAATTTAACCGTTAAATACTGATAAACTAGCGCGATGACGCCCCCCCCCGACGTGACGCAGCGAGGTGGGGCGATGATGCGGTCACGTGGTTTTTTGGCGTGGCGAAGCAACGCAACAAACGTCGAGCTGCGACACTTGTACTTTGAGCGCTGGACACCTCGTCGAGTGGGCTTTCTTCGAGCTCAACACCACCAGAAAATACATGTGAGTAACGGTCCCAACCTCCCCGTCCGGCGGAGGGTCCTCAGTGGGTCTAACGGGACTGGTCACCAAGCAACTGTGGTTGCTAGCCTCGCTACACTAACCTGGCTAGCGACGATGAGATGCTACATGCAGTTTTGAATGATCACAGTTGATCAAGCGTGTAAACGTGAAAGGGAAAAGGTAGTAAATGTATGTAGGTAAACATAATAATTAACGTAAGTAGTAGAAGTGGTTAGTAACATGAGAGGAATGTACGTTGGTAAGTTATTAATGGTATTAGGAGGGACTGACTAACTAGTGCGTCATCGTAAACTCATCAAAACTGAAATTTAATAGCTTCAATCAAAGTTTACCTACTGGGAAGTATTAATAATCGCAACCCAGTAACACCTTGTTTACAGTGTTTGTTTGCAGCTGTGAGATTGTATGTTGATTTCAGTCCCGTTGGTTATTAAAGTATGTCCCATTGTTTGTCCATTATTTCCAGTCTCTGACCATCAGCTGTGTCCATACCATCTACAGACATAATGGACGGCGGATTGACAGTAGTTACCGATCCCACTGTGAATGTGCGCCTAACGAGCACCATCTCCTCCTTTGAGGTGCAGCGCAGGTTCAATAGAGGGATCACTATAGCAGATCTAAAGGTGAGACTGAGTTTTATTGTGTATCAGACATTATGCACCTTAAAACATCTTCAAATTGGCTTCTGCCTCGCACATTATGACATGTACAATTGTGATTTTTGTGGTGTAATTAGGGAAGGTTGGAGATGGTTGTGGGTGCATCTGCCCCCTGCATGGACCTGGAGTTGTTCAGTGTCTCTGACAAGTTTCTGCAGAAAATGGACGACAATGAAGCTTTGCTGGGTTCCTATCCTGTGGATGATGACTGCAGAATACACGTATGTAGCTGCTCAGTGTTTTTAATATAACCAAGACCACTGTCATATTGTAGTATAATACAGGTAGCAACAGGTTTTCAGATCGATCTGTGATTACAAATCCAATTCTGTCCTCCTGCAGAAGAAAATGAAATTGCCTCTGATAACATGCATTATTAGCACAACACATTGTGTAAAATTATATGTTTATATGTTTTTATATGTGCCTGGTAACTTTTTATGACCCAAAGTTTGCAGTAAAATGTCTGCAAACTGGTGTGAAATGAGAACTCTGCTATATGGATAGTGGTTAATGGTTAATGAAATCATTTTCACGAGTGCTTAAGTGCTCATTAGTCCCCACAAATTGTGGGTAAACAACAAGCAAGAGTTTTACAACAGTAATGACAAAAAGAAAAAGCTGATAAACCGTTCACTGTCATAATTACTTTGAGTTTTTAGCGATAAGCTTGCATACATAACTACTGGTGTGGTCTTTTTTTAAAGTCTCTGTGTCTTATCCTAAATCGAAGGTTATTGACAAAAGTGGACAGCAGTTCGGCGAGTTCACTGATGTTTCCAAGGTGGAGAAGTTTGAACTCTCAGATGAGATTTATGAGAAGAAAACAGGTACGGTCTGACATACTCAAGCTTCTCTCCAAATGTATTATTCTCAGTAAAGTCAATCCCCTGAAAATTAACCACTGACTAAGAATCAAGAATCAGCAGTTGATAGTTAGTAGCACTCAAAGACAAAAACATTATAATACCAACATCATCCAATGCCTGAGCTTTTTAAATTTATTTTATACTGTTGTAAAGGAGTTATCTGGTTTTATAGAAGACGATGTTCTGCATTCACAGGCTGTATCCTTGTCTTTAGTACAATCCATCTTTCTTTCCCTCAGATACAGCAAGGTCATTCATGAAGAAACATCGTGTAGGTCACTTCAATGAGGAAGAAGTTGCAAGGAAAAAAGCTGAGCTTGCTGCTCGGGAGGAGGAACAGAGGGCTGCTGCTGATGCCATTTCTGTTGGCAACCGATGCAAAGTGCAGATCACGGGGCAGCCCACAAGGCTTGGCACGGTCATGTATGTCGGTAAGTGTGGATAAAACTTTGCTGGTTTACTTTCTTGAAGACGTTGGGTTAAATCTTGTGCGACTGAGGATTTTATTACCAACAGAGCCTGGCTTTGTGGTAATTTGTGGTGGCCTGTTACACAGTTAAACAATGTGTGAAGAATTATAGCCCCTTTCATACACTGCTCTGCAAGTTATAAGAGACCAAAATAACTGCTGGATTGGCTGCTTAAAGTGTTTCTTTCACTGTGTTTTGTTTTGTCTGATCTATTTGGAGACTATTGTTAATGTCCACATAAGTAAAGAGGCCTATAAAGTCCTTAACATTTCATCTGATGTGACTATAATGATTTAAAATCATTTTTCTGAGCCTTAACAATGTTTCACTCTCAGTAATTAAGAAGTTATGATTAACCATCTTCAAGTTATGTTGTTGCTTTCTCTAGAGAGCAATAAGGTGCCTTGTATTACCCAAATGTATGACATAGACTGAGTGTAAGTATAAAATGAGTAATACTTTCAACTAGTTAGTAAAATTAATAAAATAGAAATTATTAATTGAACTTGGGTTTTTTTTGGTTTATTTTCAGTTTTTGGTAATATTGAAGGCTGAGAATTTAGCATCATGAGTAAGCAAACAACAGGAGTTTAAAGAACAGTGTTGTTGCATACATTGCAGGTACAACCAATTTCAAGCCAGGCCATTGGGTGGGTGTGAAGTACGATGAGCCCCATGGAAAGCACAATGGAACGTAAGAGCAATATCTTTTTCTTGTTTTGTGTGTAGACATTTGCAAATTTGATCATGTTGGTCCTGAATCTCTATTTGACTCTGTCTGTTTTTTATAAATTGTGTCTCCACAGTGTTGAAGGAAAGCAATACTTTCAATGTGAGGACAAATATGGTGGATTTGCGAGGCCCCTGAGTTTGACTGTGGGAGACTTTCCTGAGGAGGATTTTGGTTTAGATGAGATGTAAGACTGTGATTACGGTAACAGAGGTATAGAGGGTTTCAGCCCTGAAATTTGAGCATCAACCTCAAGCTGTTATCCATTCACCATCCAGAGATGACAGAAAGTCATTGTTATCGTAACAAATGAAGTTCTTGTTTTTGTTTTGCTTCTCTGGAAGGCATGCTCCAAAGAGTGGCGTCTTAAGGTCTTTTAGGTTTAAGTTCTCTCTCACTAACACCAATGCAACCTGATAGAGGTGAATGTCAGGTAGTACATCTCTTGGTGTGCTGAATATGATGATAATACAGGATAATCACGAGAGGAGCTCACACAAACATGGTTTGATAAAGGAGAGGGGTTTTGTGTTGCATGTGAGGCAGCATAAAGAAGGTTAATATCTAGTCCTTCATTTCACGCACATCTCTTCAATTTAATTTACTTGCTTTAGTACTGCCTGTTGCTTCCAAGATGGGAGTCTTCAATGTAAGTCTGTATTAACAACTTCATCTATTCTCTTTTAGTCTGTATCAGTTTGTACAAAGATGATTGTATACAACTGTTTATTGTTAAATGTAGTCTGTAGCATTTTTTTGAAGACTGTAAATTGCTGACGGGTGGTCCAAGGATTGGACAACTGTCTGGTGAAGGAAAAATCCCCCCTAAAATACTTCAACACTAATAAAAAGTGTAATTGTATCTTGTATTCCTGACTAACATGATGTCACATACTGTACACTTCTACAATTGAGTTGAACTGGACAAACGTTTTCCGGTCATTGATTAAAATCGGTGCGTCCACTATATTTCACAGGAAAGAACAATAAATCTTCCTCAGTTCACAGTAACCTCAATAATCCAGAGTGTAACACAGCTGTTAGTTGTCTTCTGTTCCTGTTTGCTATACTTGCAGTTTTTCTGCCTAAGAGTGTGAAAGTATGCAAGGGTAGATATTTCCTTTCCACCTTTTTAAAGACATTCAATTTCATTTTGTGTTTGAATGTATTATGTAAGCCAGTCCCATTGTTAGGTTTCCAAGTGGATGAAAGATGTAATTCCCCTTTATTTTTTTATAAACTGAATTCCTCTCCTTAAAAATTAAATTGTCTGCACTTGACTGTGTCCTGCTTATATTGAAACACTGAAATAAAAAGGATTGTTTTGAGTTTAAAACCTTTAAACTTAAATGTGATTGATCAAATCTAATATATCTGCTTGATTAAAACAGCTCTCCTGAATACAATTGAATGACTATACGTTATACTGGAAAATGACCAGTGAGGATTTGTTGCTCTGGTACATCTGCCAAAGTTGTTGAATTGAATCTTAAAAATAAGATTAAATTAAACTCTCTTATTCCTGCAGTTTCATATAAGTGCGACACAGTTGTATGATCTCTGTTAGCGTTTACCCCTCATGTCCTTCATTTATTCCATAGTATTACAGTTTTTTGTCCAGTTTTTTTTAAGTAATTGATCATTAGTAGAGATTCTGAGCCCATCCCATCTGTAGCCTAAGTACACAGTGTATGAGATTCACAATGTACCATTAGATGTATATTTTTGATTACCATTGATCCAAGGTTGACCTCTTTAAAATAATATTTCAAAATACAAGCAACAGAAAAAGATGCAAAACCTTGATTTTATGTGTTTGTTGCTCCTGTATCTAAACAGTGTGTTCAGTCTCTGAATCATCATTACAATGAACAGCTTCATCATCACTCTCCAGTTAACTGCCTCTCTTATTACAATCACCATAACACTCAGCTTTTGAAAATGTGCATTTAAAACGAATGATATGCCTTATTTATGATTTGTTTGAGCGGTCCAAAGCTGTCACGATGTTTTTTCATCCTCTAAAGTTTACAAAGGAAATGTAAATTAATTATTTTTATGGTTTCTTTGCAATGAAATGTCATTACCATGTGCAAAAATGTAGTGTTGTTCTCTTTCCCCTTTTCAAAAAAACTGTTCATCTCTAAGATGCTGGTGTTACTATGTGCCAAAGGATAATGCTTAATAATAAAAATGTTTTGCGAGTACACAAACTTATCAGATTGAGTTCATTTGTCTGTACATTTAACACAACATGGACCATTTATTCTTTGCCTGAAACTACACTGAATATTTACTTCAAAATTCACGTTTGTATTTACAATTATTCTGTTTTTACATTTTCTCCAGATTTAGAACTGCTACTTCTTAACTCTGTGTACAGCTATTGCCTGTACGTCCATCAGGTCTTAGATTTCTCTCTTTTTCCCTTTTTTTTTGTTGGAGTTGTTCTTTGTCTGAATTAAAAGTCAAGGGAAGGAGACGTCAAGATTTATTGAGGTTTTGGCCTATATTAATAAAACTAAGATCTTGACAAGCGACAGTGAAGGAACATTATGCCAGAAATGTGTAGTAGAAGCATGCAAAACAAATTGATGGAGAAAAAAAATCCTTATAAATGATTTACTTACTCTTAATTGTTTACTGAGAAATCAATGAGAACGAGTTTGAATGAGTGAGACTTAACATACAGCAACAAAAAACAACCTGGACACACCTGGACAGTGATATAGTGAATATTATATACAGTATGCAGAATATTATTGGCGTGGATTGTTATCAGCAAAGTAAATATCATAATACCATAAATATAGTGAGTACTCTTGTTAGGTTGTTGGATTATTATTACTGATTAATTATTACGTAGGCAGCATTTAATATTATAATTCATTGAGGTTTATTTTTATTATATGGTTTATATGCTGTTGTGTAGAAGTAAAAATGCAGTGGAGTAGAAGTGTGAAGCGCCATATTCTCATTTTATTCAAAGCAGTATAAAATAGAAATACTATAACTATTTAATAAAGATAAAGTGGTACAAGTTCTAGTTTTCGTTTTACATCTTAAGATGACTGACTAAGCAGAGTTTCATTCTGTTTCATCAGCCTTGTCACAAAAAGGAGCTTACAATATTTGTCAGCCTTACATTTTTTTTCTCTTTATTTCTCATTATAAAGACAGATAACATGTATTAAAACTGAGAACAGATACTAACAAAGAAATAAACATAAAATAGATATATAAAGAAAAAAAAAAAAACACAAAAATGATAGTGGGGCGGGAAGAATCATTATCAGCCTAACATTTTTATATTTTTATTTGCAAACATAAACATACATGAACTGACTGCTTTTACATCATGGGAGTCATTTAACCTTAACCTTCAAAAAATAAGACAAAAGAAAAGATGGTTTAAAATGGGCAAATTTAGATTTATTTTTATGGACTTTTTGCAAGCAGAAGGATCAAACTGATGATATATATTACTGATTTATTTTGGTAGAGGGGTACGGAGAAAAAAAAGCCCAACAATACATCCTCATATAAAAAGGGAAGAATCAGACATAACTTACTGGAAAATAAAAGCACAAAATATCTCTTATCATCCTCACATTTTTACGTCACTCCCCTGAAGACCCGCGTCACTCCAACGACGCTACAACTGAGATCTCGCGAGAAGGCGCGCAGCTTCCCCCCCAGCCAGCAGTGTGGTTGTGGTGAGTGTGTGTGCGTGTGCGTGTGCGCGATAGAGACAAGGGAAGATGGCGACGCAGGAGAGCGAAGCAACTAAAGCTACAGCGACCAACGGCGAGGTAAAAAAAAAAAAAATGAATGACACTCTTTGATACCATGTGTGGGTTCTGACGTACAGCGGGAACGGGCGTTGTTTCGTTCGTTGGAGCGTTGAGTGTGAAAACCGTTAACGTTTAAACGTGTTTACCGATCGTTACACGAGCCCCAGTGACGTTGTCAGTGCCGGTTGGTTTTAAAACGACCCCCTCCTGCCGTTGACGATGCGCTGAGAACCCCCCCCCCACACACACACACACACACACACATACACTGACTGTTAGCGTTAGTAACGGTCGCAAATCTCACCTTTTTTTAAAACGTACGGTTGTTTATTGACGGAGAGAAAGAAAAGTAGTGTCACGGTAATGTGTTGACTCGTTTAGTGTGTTAGTGTGAGCCAGCTGAGTGCTGCAGTGTGTCAGATAGCTATCACAAGGCCTGAACCGGAGCAACGCAGCTCGGCTTCACTAACCAGGCCAGTCTCAAGCTGCTCACACACACACACACACACACACACACACACACACACACACACACACACACACACACACACACACACACACATATTATATATTTCCTAACCTAACCGTTAAACCGTCTCAACTGCCTCTAATTTAACGGCCATTTTTGAAGAAGGGGTGAAAAAAAAACGTATTTTTTTCCCCCTCTTAGTCTCACGGTAAAGGTTAACCTGCCCCCCCAGTTTATCTTGGTGAAACTGACAGGTAGATTGAATCAGGTGTTGCCATCGTCAGATTTGGCTAACGTTATATTAAAATAAAAGAAGCAGTTATCGCAGGTGATTGTGGCGGTATCCAGACAACTGCCAAGTATTTCCGGAGTGACAAATGAACATCACAAGTTACTGGAGGTCAGAGTGAATCATCACTCTAGAGGCAAAACCACTGCTCTGTAAGTCTAAACACTAACATTGGTAGTGATACAGAAGATTAATATGATAAAACTGTCAGATTGCAGAGCTGTAGCAAATATTTGGTTTCTTTCTTCACTCTGTTTAGACCAAGACCAGTAATTCTTGTTTTCAGACTAATTGATCCGTCGATTGTTTCAGGATTAGGTGTAACTTTTTGGTTTCTTTAGGTTCCTTTTTATGGTTTCAGTTTTTAATTTAGTTTTTTTTATTGTTTTAATTAAGTTCTAGGTTATCTGTAGCTCCAGATTACACCCTTCACAGAGCTAAGCATAGACAAAGCAAAGATAATCAATCTCTGTAAAACTCAGAAGATCATTAAATAACATTTACCACGGTTTTAAAGGTATTTCAAGATTCCTAAAAGTCTCTTACAACCTTCTTGGTTAAAACTTGAGAAACAGATTTGTGTTGTTGCAGATAAAATGTGGGTTTTTTTGGACATTCCTAGAAAACAGTGGTTAAATTTTCTTTTTTTTAAACAGAGCTACATTTATTTTCCAGAAAGAAAATGCCCAGCGCTGTGGTTCATATCTAATGATGATACACAAGTGGTAGAAACTAGGGCAAGGGTAGATTGTGCGCCCAGTCTCTTTTGTAATAAAATTGCTCTGTCAGGATAAATGCGCTATTAGTATTAGACGAGGCTCTTATGTTGCTCTCAAGGCCCACTGCTGGTGAATCAGTAGATACATTTCTGTGGTATTAATCTAGGGGAAACACTAAGTGGCTAGTAGCCAGATATAACCGTAGGTGTTTGCTCTGCTTTTCAATTTCTCTTTCTTTTTTTTCTTTTTTTTAAATTTTCAACTGAGGACAGGTGTAACACACAGGATGAAGTCAGTATTTTCATGTCTTAAATAACAGCCATTTTAATTTTCCTTGTGCTTTGTGTCCTCTGAATGTGGACAACCAGCTTTAAAATCAACCTCTAATTATTGTAGCAGAGATGGAAAGTGATTTTAGCTATGAGTAATTGGCACACATTCAACAGAAATGCCTTTTATATCTTTATTTAAATGCCTTATATTGCACATTGTCTTGCGTCCTTCCTGTATAGTAAACATCTCTGACTTTGTGCCCTCTTCCTGACAGACAAACGCATGCAGTGACAATCCAGCATCAAACATTTACTCTACACCCTGAATAAGTGGTTAATTGTTAATCCTTGTTCAGAGTGTGTAAATTGTCAATTATTATCTTGAGCTGGAACAGATAACCTATTTTAGTTGGTGAGCATGTTGGTGATCTGTCTGTGTAATGGTTATTATGTTGATCCCTCCAGGAGACACAGATCCATGTCTCTGATAATAGAATTGCTTCTATTTTAACACAACAGGACATGGCAGCGAGGAAGAAAATCTCTATTTTGAGCCACTTCATGGCCTTGAAATGTTATGTGTATGATGGTGCTAGGCCGGTAGCGCACCACAAACCTTCAACATTTTCACTGCTCACAGATTTTAAAGCTTTCTCAGCTGATGCATGAAAATAAGCAGGAAACACGTTCTACCTTCAAGTGTTGTGTGAGGCCAACCTCTGGTCTCCCTTGTGTCGGTGACAATGGGGGAGATTAGATGTTTAGATAGTGAATGAGTCTCATGACTTGGCATGCGCTTGTGTATTGTGTCAATTGAATAGAATGTGGCCTTGCTAGGGGGATGTGGGGGTTACAGCGACACGCCAAAGCAAACTAATGACATATTTTACTGATCTTTAACGTGCAAATATGCATGCTGGTACTCACATGAATTTGACCTCGGAAGAGTTATTTAAACTATGCAAAACTACAAAGGCCCTGTTTGGTTCATGATTGTTAAATTGAATAGTTTGACTGATTGATCTATCTAGGTATCCTTTGCTTGGAAATTAAATTAGTCTCAGCTCGGGTGCCCCTCGTCGTCTTTAGAGGCCCTCTGATTTGTAATTAGTCTAGTGCTGAAACAAAATTATTTTATTTTCATCAATTAATCCATTGAACATTGTTTTATATTAAATATTCAAATAACTTGTTTTGTGACCAGAAAAATCCAAACCTTAATTTATTCAATTTATGATTATATCTGAGAAAAACAGAAAATCCCCCAAATTTCCATAGCTGGAGTGACATAATGTTTGCTTGATATGTGACTGAAACTAATCGTTGGTAATTAAAATTGTTGTCGGTTAATGTTCATAATCGGTGGCATGTGTGTTATTTCCCAAGTACATGTTTCACTGGAACGTTCTGGCTATAATTGTGTGGTAACAAAAGTATTTGTCATGTTGCCTCACTTTAGCACACCATGGAGTGACAAGGTTGACATAAAATGTGTTGATAAACTGCTTAAAACAAGTCTGGGACGAATTGTATTATTTACCTTACCAACACCTTCAGTTCTTACAGACCGATTTATATATTCCATGTTTGGACTGGAGATTGTGGGTTAATCAGTCCCCTATATAGTATACTGAATGGTTATATCACCAGTTTAGGCTTTCAGTAAGGTACATTATGGAGTACACAAATCCTCCTTATTTTCCTCTTAGTTAAGTTGTTCTTCTTTGATGAGGTACTTCATTACATGATGCCATTGCTGGTCCATCCGGTGGCTTTCTTTGGGTACACTGACCCTGTATCTGTGTGTGTCTGGTTCTAGGTGAGCAGCAATGGAACCGCTGCAACAACAGATGGCCAGACTGTGCAGACAGCTGAAAATGCACAGGATGCACAGCAGCAGCAGCAGCCGCCTAACGCATGGCAGGTCATTAAAGGAGTCCTCTTCAGGTGAGTTCTTCTTGTTGTGTTTTAATCTTTATTCTCTCTCTTTATAAATAGAGAGCCAGCTCACAGATGAAAGCTTACTTTGACACCATGTATGTAACTGTAGAATACATGATGTGATATATTATGGTGGTGTCACAATCCATATGAAAGTGGCAAGTAAACGGATAATGGTGTGCCGACCCACAGCTCAGCTGAAGTTCACCTTGCCTCTTATAAAGTTCACTGTGCTCCAGATCTCTGTGCAGATTTTACAGTCTGTTTTGTCTCCCCATCTGCCATTTTAGCCACGTCTTGCCTTTTTTAAGATCTGTTTTGTCATCTTTTTCTGTGCAAATAGCAACCTAAACAAGCAAGACAAGTAGTTTATTGGTGAATTTCTATTTTGGTACAGGCATAAGGAAACATTTGTTCTGGCTGAGCTTGGTGGGTTGTCAAGGGTCAGATCTCTATTTATGATCTGCTTGATGTTCAGTGCTTTGTTTGCTGTATTTATTTATTTAGTAAGTGCTTCTTCTGACTGTAGTGAATGAACAAAAAAAAAGCCCTTGCTTGATCACTTATACCCCCTTTTATTAATGACATGAAGTACAGGCAGAGTTCATGATCTGACGCACCTGTCTGCCTTCGAGTGCAAGAGCTTTGTACTAAGTATGGCCTGTGGTGGATGTCAGAGCATTTTAACAGTTATTTTCAGTAGTCAGTTAATGTTGAGGGATATATTCCTGTATAACCAAATGTACACTACTTCAAGACCAAGGGTTACTTTGTACAAAAATATGAATGCAAAGCACTGTGTGTGTAGAGCTGCTACCAGTGTAGTACTTTTTTTGCACCTAGTTGGAATAAAACCCTACGGCTGTTTTACTCTTCCTTGTGCAAGAAGTTACTTTGCCAGTCAATCGGCAACCATCTGAGTGAAAGAGCAGGTCCATTTATTAGATTAAAAAGATGCATTGACCGTTTAAAATACTAAAATGGATGTGTAAACTATTTGTGAACATGATGCATGGTCTGCACTACACCAAGCCACTGGTCTATAAGTTATCAGAAAGAAAGCTTCATTATAAATAAAAAAAAGTCTTGTATACAGTGAACAAAACCATGAGCATATGTGGAAGTTAGACTGATTATAAAGTATGTATGTATAAATTATGAAGATATGCCAGCTCTTGATATTTTTTGAATATTTCACAATGTTTTCTTTGTTTGCCACAAGTACACTGTGTCCTTCTTTTACTTTCAAGTTTGTGCCTTTTTTGATCCATCACTGATTTATGATGCAAGAAGGGCGTGTCTCTTAAAGTCTGGACATAAAGCAGTTTGACTGGATACAGTTAAATCAGATTAGCCTCCTTGTGGTTTCACTCTCCTGTAGCAGCTCTTCAGATCTCAAGAGAAGAGGAGTTTGTACTAGACTGAGTGCCAGTGTAATCAGTATTTACAATTTATTCAATTTATCCTCCATATTCAGTGTTTCCTCTAGGATTTTTTTTTAGCAGTGGGGGCAGGCCCGTCCGAACACTACCCCCTCGCCCCCGCCCCCGTCACGTCGGCAAACGTTTTACGTATGAAACAGAACTGACACTTCGCTGCCACACAAACAAATATATTTACCGTTTTAATGTTTCCGTTGAGCTGAGAACTGACAAGTTGAACGTTGTCCAATTAAAACGGACCCACCGTAGTGACGTTTTTGGTGGAGCTGTTAGTTTAATAGTCAACTTGGAAGAAAGCAAACGTTTTGACAATAAGCTACATCAACAGTATGTGGAGTTAAACTGGACAGCCCCAATAACCTCTGAATAGTTCTACTTGTTGTTAGATTGCAATGTGAGCGACAGCCAACGGGGGTGCATAATGTCGGCAGGATCATTTAAAAGGCAACCGTGACTACATTGTGCGTCTGCCCCATTTCTGATACCGTGGCGGCAGAAATTTAACAGTAGCGGGCCGCCGCTCCAAAATCAACATAGAGGAAACACTGATATTGCTCTCTTTTTATATATTTTAGTCCTCTTCCTTCGTTCCTTACCTGTTTTTTTCCTTCTTTGACTTTGATTCCTTATTTACTAAATCTTATTTTCCTCTGACCCTGTTTGCTCTTCTTCCTCCAGAATCTTCATAATCTGGGCGATCAGTAGCTGGTTCCGTCGAGGGCCGTCCACTCCTGACCCCACCACACCAGCCGGGGCACCCAGAGTACCCAGCAGGAACCTCTTCCCTAAGGACACCCTCATGGTATTACACCTGTCCCCTCTGTCCGTTGCCTTATCTGCACAGCCAGCTGTTTCATTAAATGTTTTTTCTAATTGAATTGAAGCTGTTAAGTTTTAAACACCTCTCATACTCTGATCCCCACAAGTATTTCGACAGCAAACGTGTTATCTCTCCCTTTCAGACTAACTCGCTAGCTTTCCCCTGACTGTAATATCATAAACACCTTTATTTTCTCACCACTCCGGCAGGATATGTATGTGTACCTGTCTCACGAGGAGGTGTTCACCGACTTCAACAACACAGAAGCGCTGTTCTGGTTCCACAGGGACCTGGTCTATGGAGACTGGAACACAGGGGAGAGCGGGGACGGCTGTTACGAGCACTATACGGAGATGGACATCCCAGAGGTGGGGATGACTTGGGATGGAGGGGTGGTGCAATGTGAGAGGAGAGAAATGTGGCAGTGCAGGGGAACAGGGAGAGAGATGCAACAGGCAGTAGATGGGTGGTTAAAAAGGAACAGGTATTAGTTTAGGAAATGAGGTAGACGTTGGTGAAGGGCAGGAAATACAAGTTGATAATGAAGTTGACAGATTTGTAATGCAGTGTGTTTACTTGCAGATATTGCAGAAGAACGGTTCCCTTTACTTGCACGTCTATTTCACTAAAAGTGGATTCCACCCAGACCCCAAACGCAAGGGCCAGTATCGCAGACTGGCAACCGTTCATGCAACACGAAGTAAGTACATGTGGAGAAACACACTTTAAACAAAAGCTACGTTCTGTAGCTGACATAGTAGAGCATGCACCCCATGTGCCAAGGCTGAGTTCTTACTGCAGTGGGTTCAAGTCTGACCTGTGGCCCCCTTTGCTGTGTAACATTGTCTCTTTCCTTTTCCTAACCACCTTGAGCTGTCCTGTTAAAATTTCTATTAATTTCTATGCATTTTACTTGTTCACTCTTTCAGTGCTGAATAAATTCAAGCGAAGGAAGTTTCTGAAGACCAAGAATCTCCTGACAGGAGAGACAGAAGCAGATCCTGAAATGATCAAGGTTGATACATATATATATATATTTCTTTTTTTTACAGAAATGCTTACAGTGTGACCATTATGTAGTTTGTCCACCAGAGAGCACTGGAAAGTAGTTTTTTTTTTTTTTTTTTCCCCAACTGTAAAATGTCTGGCTCAGTATGTTTCTTTGTCATAATAATTTATTACAGAATTACTTTGATAGATTTCTGAGGCTGATATTTTGCTGTTTTAAAAAAAATCTGACAACAATATAGTCAGGCTGCAGTGCCCTGTGTGTTATGAATGGATATATGTGTGCTTCATGGCCTCAATACATTAACATCATTGTGTTCAGGTTGTTTTTCCTTATAGTGTAGTAATTGAAAATTGAAATCATCTCATGATGCAGAGTTTTAAATCAAGCACTAATGTTTCCTTGAATTAATTGATTTCTCAATACACATTTTTTGACTGTTTATCAGTTTTGTCCTCACACATTTAATTCAAGTTCTTACAGAAACACTCACTTTAGCTAATCCAGGAAAAGGCTGTGAGCGTTAAAGAACCTAAATTAATTTTACACATTAAAGTGAAAAAGCTCCTCACTGACATTTATTGAATTAAATGTGTTTCCTCACAGCGGGCAGAAAGCTACGGTCCAGTGGAGATTATCTCTCATTGGCACCCTAACCTCACCATCAACATGGTAGATGACCACACAGCCTGGGTCAAAGGCTCTGTTCCCCCTCCTCTGGACCAACGTAAGTTCCTCGTACTCACCTCTTTGCCTTTTACTGCACAATGCTGTACATTTCCCAAAGTTCCCAAATACAACAGCTTGGATGTTCTTTTTGTGGCAAACCATCTTTGACACTTCCACCCTTCTACCCTATTAGATGTTAAGTTTGATGCAGTAAGTGGCGACTACTATCCCATTGTGTACTTCAATGACTACTGGAACCTCCAGAAGGATTACTATCCCATCAACGAGACCCTGACAACACTCCCACTGCGCCTCTCTTACTGCCCACTGTCCTTGTGGCGCTGGCAGCTGTACGCTGCCCAAAATGCACGCTCCCCGTGGAACTTCTTACCAGAGGACACCTACGAGCAGTCTGATGAAGACCAAGACTCTGTCAAGGTGAGAGGTCAAAGGTCACAGAGACAGAAAACAGATTAGACAGAATTAGATGTGATAAGATGGAAGTATTTTTGGTTTATATCTTGATACACTGGAGAAATAACTGATTGGGTAATATATAATGAAACATGATCGATAGATACACTGTCACCATTTATCAAAAGTATGAATTATTTGGTTTAGATAGACACATAATGATTTTCTATTGTAGAGATGTATGTTGTAAAAAAGGACATTTAAGTTACTGTGAGGCAGGTCTGTCTTTACAACAGACATTTTCACTCTTGAGCAGTTCTGCTTTCTTGCTGCTTTCTGCTTTGTCACATCTTCAGATATTAGTGACGGGCACTGAAGGCACATAATAATGGTTAAGTGTCCATCCTGCTCTTCAGTTACCTTTATAGAATAGCTTTGTATTGGGGCACAATCACAATAGTATTTTATTATAGCAAGTTATTTATGGTTCTCATCCCAGATACCAAACTAAACCAACCTACTGTGTGGGCAGTTTGAATGTGAACTTTGGACTTTCTGATCAAACATAAAAAATGAGATTGTTACTTCTGTAACTTCAGATTTAATAAAAACAAACACTTTCTTTGATAGGTGGCCCTCTTGGAAACCAACCCGTACCTGCTGGGTCTCACCATTGTTGTCTCCATCGTGCACAGCATCTTTGAGTTCCTCGCCTTCAAGAATGGTAAGATCACAACAGCCTGTCCATACTGACAACACAAGAATAGTTTGCACAGTGTCTGTTTACCCCTCGGCTTCAACCCACCTCCATCTCCTCCTCAGATATCCAGTTCTGGAACAGCAGACAGTCTCTAGAGGGTCTATCTGTGCGCTCCATCATATTTGGAGTCTTTCAGTCTCTGGTGGTGCTGCTGTACATATTGGACAATGAGACCAACTTTGTGGTGCAGGTCAGCGTCTTCATCGGCCTCCTTATCGATCTCTGGAAAATCACCAAGGTCATGGATGTCAAAGTAAGTCGGATCATCACTAACAAATTCCTTTTTGAGGCAGCAGGCTCCTTTTCCTCTGACCTTTTTAAAAGAATATAAAAACATTTCGGACCAACCAGAGAATGTGTTAAGATGTTTGATTTGAATGAAAACCAGCTGACACGGAGACTGGACACAGTTGCGTTTCTACTTCTTGTTATGCCACTATTACCTTAATCCATTAACCACTTATTTTTGTCTTTTCTCTAGTTGGACAGAGAGAACAAAATCGCAGGAATATTCCCAAGATTGGTATTCAAAGACAAGTCAACATATGTTAAGTCTTCAACCAAAATCTACGACGATGTGAGTCAAACAAATACTCAAACTGGAAGGGCAATCACTGCTGAGATGAAGAAAATATCACAAGAGCAATAAATAATATTTTAGTTGTTACTGATAATTCCTTTTCTCTCGTTCTGTGAACAGATGGCCTTCAAGTACCTGTCGTGGCTGCTCTACCCTCTGTTTGGCTGCTATGCCGTCTACAGTTTATTGTACGTAGAGCACAAAGGCTGGTACTCATGGGTGCTCAGCATGCTCTATGGCTTCTTGTTAACCTTTGGTAAGTTCGTCTGAAGCATTTATTTACTACACGACTCATCATTCAGTTTGTTTTTTTGTTTTAGAGAAACATTTATATTGAACGTTGGGTGTTGAAACTTCAGCTGGTGGAACGTAAACAGGAGTTTTTGTATTTTCTTTTTAATAATAAAATAAAAATGATTGATTTTACTCTCTGCTGACGGTTTGTGTTCCTGTTTATGTAAATCTATTTTTTAAGAGCAGAGTTAAGGCTCCTTATTATTGTCTCTGTTAATTATCTTGTCTCTAAGCGGATGTACATACAGATAATGTTTTCATACTTGCATCATGGTTACGTATCCAATTCCCAACAGCCTCTGCTAATGTGCTGTGTATTAATAGACTTCATGAGGGCAGTTATGTTGCCTGCTGAGTTACTCCCTCTGTGTAGAATTGTTTATACTGCGTTACCTAACAAGTGCCCCGTTTTGTGTTTTTTTTGTTTTTTAGGTTTCATTACAATGACGCCACAGCTATTCATCAACTACAAAATGAAGTCTGTGGCCCACCTCCCATGGAGGATGCTCACCTACAAGGCTCTCAATACCTTTATTGATGACCTGTTTGCCTTTGTCATCAAGATGCCCATGATGTACAGGATAGGATGCCTCAGAGATGGTATGTCCTCCCTGATGTAGATGTTATGTTAGGGGGAGTTAAATAATCACCTGAGTTAAAGACTGAGGGATTTGTTGTTTGTGTAAAGGAAAGGGTGTCCTCCATTCTGGCCCTTCTGTTTTTACTTTTATCGCTCCTGACACCAGAGGACATGCAGAGTCATTGTCACTCTTGGCATTGTGTTAAATCACTATTGGCCTTTAATCACAGCTGATCTGTTTATAATTAATCCTCCAACTCTACCCAGTGTCGACTGACTAGATCTCACTGATTTACATAATGCTCTTTGCTTTTACCGGATGATTTATGAGGGACTTTTTTTCTAGATTTCTGTTTTTCAACACTAGGTTTCAGGTTTCACATACGCTCACAGGCAATTGTGTGATCCTCTGTAATGTGTTACAAGCAGTTGTTCAAGTTTTCTTTTATTCAGTGGTTACTTTTATAAAAGGCCAATCTCATAAAGACGTGTTCACAAAAGGTAAATGATATGTTAGATCAACTGTGGAAAGCTAATCCATTGGTTGGTGAGGTTATTGTCTCAGACTCTGCTCACCTCCAGAGTTGTTTTTTTCTGCGTGTCTCTTTTCTCATTAACACCTTGAATGTGAGTGTCCACCATTGAATATGAATATTGGTGGGTCTTGACAGATTATGTAATAGATGCACAACAACACTTGTTCCACAGTTAGAGTTTAGAAGAAGATTTAATTGAATGTCTGATGCTGCTGTATAGCTTCAGTGGCTTCATGCTGCATTCATGGCATGTCAGGGTTACTGTAATTACTAGGTTGTTTATTTGTAACTCTTAATATGTGTCTGAGCTCTATTTCTCATACAAAGTGGCACATAATATACAGAATTACCTGAAAACCAAACAAACATGGATGCCTCACCTTAACCGAAGTCGTTGCAGGTTTTTAAAGCTATACTGATATCGATAGTCATTGTAACCCTTATACAACTGTCTAGATTTGTCCAGTGACCTCTACCGTGCATCCCATAAACATTACCTTTAGCCACTATAACTACCGTACGTAGGTTTGTACTTGGTGGTTTCTCACAGACGACCTCTGTCCTCTCCTGCAGATGTGGTGTTCTTCATCTACCTTTACCAGCGTTGGATCTATCGGGTCGATCCCAACAGGGTCAACGAGTTTGGCACCAGCGGAGTAGAGCAAGTCCCGAACGACACAGCAGCGGAAGGCGCTGCTCCCGCCGCACCAGCCGCCATCACAGACAAGCCAGAGGAGGAGAAGAAGAATGATTAAGCAAGAACACGCCCTTATCCGCCTCCCTGGCACTCACAACTGGGGCAAAGAGGACTTGTGGAAATTAGACAGGGAGGGGTGTTGTCGTTTAGCTGTCATGGACGCCACTACAAAAAAAAAAAATGCAGTTCAACTGTTCCCTCTGATTTCTGTGTGGACCCACAGAGAATCATATTCAGTGTAGACTTGGTAAATTCTTATTTCAGTTCCCCGCCCTCTCGTTTTGCAGTTCAAGTGAAGTAAAACAAAACGTGATGTACTGTATTCTGTATGATTTCTCAGAGGGTAACAATGTCTTGGAGTAGAGGTTGGGAGGGGAACAGGTCGCAGTTATACTACATTTTTTTTTTTTTTTTTTTTTTTTTCTCCATATACAGGGAAGAAAGAGGCCAAGTGCAACTTTTGTTCTTTGTGTAGATTCCTTGTGAATTTTTCTTTTCATTCCATGTGAGCACCATGTTTCAGATTGCCTGGAAACTGGTGAGTAGTGCTGGAGGAAACTGGAAAGATCCTGAACCACGACAGAGGTAGAAAAAGAGAGGGTGGTGACTGGAGACAAGATCGATGACCCTACAGGACGCTACCCACAAGACAGTGACTACTACCCTCAATTTTAAACAAATGGTTAATGTTCTTAACTCGAACATAAAAAAAAAAAAAAACAGCCTTGTTGGTATTAATATAAATATATTAATATTGTCAATGACTTAATTTTTGTTTTTCAGTCACTGAAGCATTCTTTTGTATGTCCTCAAACTGTACAGAATCTCAGCTTGTCATGTTAATAATACCGATGTCAAAACTGTCTAGCAATAGCTAATTTGCAAGTCTTATTTTTTAATTTTCTCCCCTCGGCCAGACTTCTGGTTTTAAAACTGTTTCACGTTCATGCTCCAAACCAGATCACCTGGACAGACACAGTGGAGACAGGAGTCGGGTGTGTGCTGGAAGAATTACAGTGTCTCTTGTTTTAATTTTGAGTGCTGTAAATCCTGAAACAAAGAGGGTTCCATGTTGGTACATATTAAATTTTGATTCATTCATGTTTATAGTAAAAGTTAAGTGTGATTTAAAATGTCTATGCAAAGCTGTTTTGATTTTACTCTATTTAGTTTTGACTTGCTGCTCTGGGTTCAAGAACAATATTTTTTGCATGAAACCTTTAATTATTCCACATTAATTTCTATTAATGTTAGTTTATTTGTGTGCTTATATAGCATGCACATTATGTGTGTTCACCCCTGGAGGCATGAGTTATAGACTGCAACTAATGACTATTTTCATTATTGATTATTCTACTAATTATTTTCCCTGATGATGAATCGTTTTTGTTTTGACAGAAAACTGTGAATAATGCTCATCACAACCTTCCCAGAGCCAAAGGTGGTGACTGTTCTTTCTCGTTTTGTCCAAACAAAAGTCCAAAACTAAAAAAAAAAGATTACATTTACAAAGAAATAAAAAAAGAGAAGCAAACAAGACTCTCATTCAAGATGCTGAAACCAGCAATTGTTTGGCATTTTTACTTTGAAAAGAGACTCAAATGATTAGTTATGAAAATAGTAGAAAATAATGCTCGATACAGTAGAAGTGTTTGTAATGTAATTTGTTTGGGTTTTTTTAAACCTTCAACTAAACCCTGTTTGGTAATCAGATTAGTTTGTAACAGTTTAATCCTCAGACTGAGTAGCCTGGTCCAGACCTCTGAGTTTATTTCAGATATTTAAATAGTTAAAAGCCAGAATAATGGTAATTTAGTCAGTCAGTACAGTGTTGGGCTAGTTACTCAAAGAATGTAATATTTAAATTGTATTAATTTAATAAATTAAATTTTACCTATTACTCCCTACCAGCAATAATTAGTTACACTTCTAGTTATATTATTTTGCTGCTACTCCCCACAATTGGTAATTGTGTCCTTTCTCCCCAAAATTCAAACTTACAACCATCAAAATCAAGTTTTGTTTGTTAAAATCAAATTAATGGAACATTTCCAGCTGCTGAATGTTTCTATCTTTCAAACTAGTTTCATCCACGATAACAGAAATAAATGACAACAAAAGTAATGTAACATTATTTTTTGGAGGAGTAACTAATATCATTATAATGTATTATTTAGTTACACTACTAGTTATTGGGAAAAGTATTATTACTAGTAATGAGTTACTGCCCAACACTGGACACCTACCAGGTGTTATGATGGTTTCAGTTGCCTTTTATGAAGCAGCTGCAGAAACACTGATGAACTCAACCTGATGCTGCTTTCAACCTTTAACACACTGGTTCCCAACTATATATATATAATATATATAGTGATATGTAGCCAAACAATCCTCTGTGACCTGCTGGTTGTGTGTGTGTTTGAACAAAGAGTCCTAATGTAGTAAAATGTTTCAGTATTTTAAGATTGTTTTAAATGTTAAGCATTAATACTTCAGATCTCCATTTTTAGTTCACCCACACACTCTACACATTGCTTTATGCACCTTTGTAGCAGCTCCTATTATCTCCCAGTTGTTGCTTTCTTAGCAGTAACACCACTGCAGTTGAGATCTATTTTGTTGTTTATTTTTAGGCAGGAGTTGAGTCACCGCTTCCTCTAAACGCCGCACTTTCGCTTTCCGTTTCTTTTAAATCTGCCTGTCCTCTGTCCAACCAGCAGGGGGAACTGCTGCGCCTCATAACTTGAGCACATAGCTCAAAGTTGCTGGTTTAAAAAAAAAAAAAAAAGAGGCTGGATTACATCACTTTTAAGGGCAGTTACTAAACGTGCAGATATGTTACTGGTGCAGTTTGACAGCTAAAATCCTTCATGATGAAATGAGGAATTCCCAGTTCAGTCAGGTTTTTGGAAACGAGCTGGAGCAGGATAGTGGCCTGATGCAACCAGGATACACATCTGAAACTTTCATTTATCTATCTGTTAAAGAGGCCTCGACTATTAACAGTATATGTAAAGTGTGTGTAAGTGTGTGAGGTGAATTGGAGGGCTCATTTAAATACAGTTAATTTGCATATGCAAGTAGGTTAAAACAAAAAAAACAAGATTATCTAATGGAAAAAAAAAAAAAAAAATCTCCTTTTTTGGACCACGACCCTCCTTTTCGACGTCTTGAGTATTAAAATGAGTGAACCACATTCAGCTCAATGGTCCTGCAGTACGGTACCTGTCCCGGGGGTTTTTTCCCGTCTGGGAGGTGACGTGACGTTGGGGGATTTCCACACGCGGATGCAGCCAATCGGCGCGAGGCTACTGCGGAAATACATAACTGGAGTTAACACACACACACACACATCAGTCGACACATGGCTTCATGTCGGTTTAACACACTCTCACGGCTCGGCACAAACACTCAGAGCGGGTCCACAGCCTGTCGAGACTTTCCCTGAGCTGTTTTTTTTTTTTTTTTTTTAAATAAGAGTTATATAACAAAAAGTAGATCCAAAGAAAAGTTTCGACCGAATACCGGAAATTATCCGCTTTGGAAAGAATTCAAGGACACGACAGCGGAGTTGATGGTCCTTAGAGACTCCTTGTATGCGATGAAAGACATGGACATCTTCAACGGTACTTCTGGTAGGTGTTTTAAAAGAGGTTTCTAGTCTTAATCTCCATGTTTGTGGTGTGTGTGTGTGTGTGTGTGTGTGTGTGTGTGTGTGTTTGTGTGTGTGTGTGTGTGAGTGAGAGAGGGAGCGAGGGAGAGAGCTGACATCATCACCAGGCATGTGATTTGTCAGAGCAGAGGAGCCAACACCCATCCCCGGGATCTGAGCACTCCTACCCGGCTCTCTCTGCCCTGCTTCGTGCAGGGTTGAACATTAACAACCACACTGCTGTGTTTCTGTCCACTGACTCTTTCTGCTCTCTGTTTGTCCTGCAGAGCGAGTGCTGGAGGAATTTGGTGAGTAGCTCTCTTGTTTTTGTTTTGGGGTTGTTGTTTTTTTTTTTGTATTTGTTGTTGCTTGAAGCTGGTTTTTGTTGTTGCCCACAGTCATGCATGTGTGGTGAAAGGCGTTAATGCAAAGTGTGACCTGGGGCGACCTCATGCAGAAGTAGACTGTCATAAGCTTCCTCATCTTGTGTTTTGATCGTTTCTCACTGAGCCTAAGAGGCAGTACGGTGGCCCAGAGGTGCAAAACTAAACACTTTAGACAAAACTAAAGTCAAAATAACATTATTAAGTATTCATTTTAGTATATTTATTTCATTTAAGGCTTATATTCTTTTTCATTAATCAGCCTGTTAGTTTCTCCTTTTAATTGTCTATAAACAGTCAAAGTAGTGGAACAAAAACACATTTGTATTTAAATTGCTTGTATTTATTGCAACTGCAGGTCAAAACATATTGAGTTTATTATCATAGAAATATAAAATACCAGTAATTTGCTTAAGTGAGTTAGTTATCAGATGCGTTGCACCCAATAGATGAATCGTTTCTGACGTTTGACGTGTTGTTACAACTTCTTTGTTGACATGTTTATGCACCGTGGCTGCAGGAAACTCTAGTTTCTGTTTGGCTGGTAAAGTGTGAGACACCGTAGACCTCAACCACAGGTCTAAATCAGTACAAGGTATATTTGTTACCATAGCAACAGCACTTAGTTCACCACTAAACAGCAATGATGCCTAACTATGGATTCAACTAACTCACCAAACAGAACACATCTTATGTTTGTTGTTAATTGATCAATAGTATAAACACGATAATGCACCCCTAGGTGTTCTGATATAGAAAATAATGGACAGTTCGGAGTAAACAAGTATATATATATATATATATATAAGGCAAAGTCATGTTATCTTTTATTCTTCATCTAAGAAGTTTTATTCAAATATCACAGTCATTTCAGTTACGTTGGTTGAGCGCTAGTTTTCCATCTGAGTCAGTTTATAGCCTACTCAACGTTTCTTCACAGACATCATCGATGAAATCATCACAGAGGACATAGAACGGTCGGTTGGCATCCTCCCTGGACCTCCTCCCCCTCCCGTTGATCTCCAATGCCCACCACGCAACGAGAACCTCAGGACGCTCCAAGCGAGCCCCTCAACGCCATCCCAGCCCGTGCTGCTGGCGAGAGGCACCGCATGTCAGGTGAGTTTTATCAACAAGATCTCTGGGTGTGGGATCTCTGGGTGTGATGTATCTGTTCCATTGTAGTCATTTCTGTTGTTTTGGTTTGTCTGCTGTCAACCTCAATGAGCGGTTTTCTACTTTTGTGTTGGCAACACCCAGGGGGCAAGAGTGAGGGCATCTTTTTTCAGTTGTGGGCTGCGTGTTAGAAGAAGGCGAGAGAGCAGCAGCAGGCGTTATTGAACCGAGATCAAGTTTCATGATGCATAATAGATCGCTTTCTTCATGATTACTGAATATTAAGTATGAAAGAAAGTTGCTACCAGAGCTGTGAGCTTTCTCAGCTTGTCTTCATCATGTCTTCATTCAAGTAAGACATTAAGACATTATGCCAAAACAAATAGTTAATTGATAAGACAATTTACAGACAAATTTTATCATTAATATTAATAATAACTAAGTTAATTATGATGCAAAAATGACAAAAACCTCTCAAAACTGAGGATTTTCCACTTATTTCAGTTTTGTTTCATTGTTAATTGAATATCTTTCTTATAAGATGAGCAATTTGAAGATCTACCTTGCTCTCCAGGAATATTTCAGTTTTCTGACATTTTATCAATGATTAATCAAAACAATCAGAGTGACTAAATCAGTTATTTTGTCCTATTGAAAGCTTCTTGTTTTCAACTGAACTCATTCAGTCTTCTCTGTTAGGATGTAAAGACACAACTGCAGCTTTTAGCGAGTTTTAATCTGCAGTGTTGTATGTGTGTAGTCTCTCATTGTTTGGGTGCTTTGTTGTTGTTGTACGGAGGAGTAGTTAGGCAGCCGGAGAGCTCGGGCTCTTACCATAAAGCACGTGGTTTACAGACAGCAGGGAGATCAGAAGTGGCGTAATCTGATAAGACTGCAGTGATGCTGTAGCCTGCACAGACAGGTAATAACAGTAAAGCACAAAGGAAAAACAGCTGCAACTCTTTACTAGCAAATGACCTGT